GCAGGACTTACAGGCCAACCCCTCTGGGAGCTTTAGGCTTAAATGGCTTCTGCTCTCTCAGCCCTGCAATACCAGGGCACAGAGAAAAGGATTCTTGGCCACCTTACCAGCCCTGTCAAAAAAGAACTGAGACCAGCAGGCAGTCCCTTTGGTTCAACAGACATTTCCAGAGCACCCTGTCACTGGGGGAAATAAGCAGTCCATTTAAATCCCTGAATCTTTTGAAGACACTGAAACACCCACAATGTCTGGAAGTAGCAGACTGGTTGAATTACGAGACATAATTCTTGAAGGCACATTCACATGATAGAATTATGTGCTGAAAAAGAATTTTAAATGACGGGGAGATGTTCATAATAAATTAAGTAAATGTTGCTGTAAAATAGTATATACATTAAGGATTCCAGGGTTTTTTTTTTTTTTAAATAATTGATTTATAGGGAAAACCAGAAGGAAATAAAAATTGTCAATGATAAGTTCTGAGTGGTTGGATTATGGGTATTTTAATTTTTTTTAATGTTTATTTTTGAGAGGGAGAGAGACAGAGCGCAAGCAGGGGAGGGGCAGAGAAGAGAGGGAGACACAGAATCTGAAACAGGCTCCAGGCTCTAAGCTGTCAACACAAAGCCCACATGGGGCTCAAACTCATGAACCGTGAGATCATGACCTGAGCCAAAGTCGGATGCTTAACCGACAGGCGCCCCAGATTACGGGTATTTTAATTTTTTTCTTTTCTAAACCTTATACAATAAATGTAATAGTTTTCAATATAGTGTTTCAATATGTAAATATGATACAGCATTTAGGAAACAACTCCACTGGGCAGAAATTGTGACTACCTTGTTCATCACCATAGAAAAATAAGCATTTTTTTAAAAATTTTTTTAACGTTTGTTTATTTTTGGGACAGAGACAGAACCTGGGTGGGGGGAGGGTCAGAGAGAGAGGGAGACACAGAATCTGAAACAGGCTCCAGGCTCTGAGCTGTCAGCACAGAGCCCGACGCGGGGCTCGAACTCACAGACCGCGAGATCGTGACCTGAGCCAAAGTCGGACGCTTAACCGACTGAGCCACCCAGGTGCCCCGAAAAATAAGCATTTTAAAGAAATGTGCCCTTTTCCTCAATAGAGAGGTAAAAAATTTGGATGGGGCAAATTTTTTGGATGAGGCCCCTCCCTCCCTTGTCCTTGAGTTTTGGGTGTCCCTACACAGCCCAGAACTGAGAGTGGAAAATTAAAAAAAAAAAAAAACACCATCCTGGCTCTTTTCCTGCCCATAGATGCTCAGTGTTGAGACTTAGAATGGGAAAATTTCACATAGTTCAGACCTCCCAATACAGGGGCTCCTGGCCTTGTCCATAGGTCTGCACCCTCTCCACATTCACTTCCTGACAGTCGCTTCCCCGGGTGGCCGTGAGATACTGGGAGACTCTCGTCCTATATCCTCTGCAGGAGGTCAGGTCTCTGCTTGGGAGCAGGAAAGGGAAGGAAGACACAAGGCCCAAATTTTCTTGAATTCTTAAAATGCGAGTACTGCTAAGTAGTTAGAACACTTGACATTTATCATTAGCGTAATTGTTAAGAATAACTACCACTTACTGAATGCTTTCCAGGTGCCAGGTACACACTGTGTTCTTTCATTGAATTTTCACATTAGCCACATAGGTTTTATTCCTATTTCACAGATAAAGACACAGGCTGAGGTCAAGCAGCATGCCTAAGTTCCCAGTTCTATAAAATGGCTGACGTAAGGTGCTTCACAGATTGTGAAACTGTTTCAAAACGGCCTCTGTTATTTTTCACACTACTCTGCGAGAAGCGGATTCTACGTTTCCACTTGTGAATGAAGGGGCAGATGGCTTTAATGTCCTCTCTGTGGGTCTACGTGCCTGATCCATGAGAGCATTCCCAGCGTTTGGTTTCAGTTAGAGGGGTCCTATACTTAGCAGGGCGATGGTGGGAGCCAAACCTGACCCGACTATACTAGATTGTGCGTGACAGATTTTAATCTGACTCTGAAGAAGGTAGGGTGTGGTGGGAGACTAGATACTAGCAGGAAACAACCAGATCAGGCTGTGACCTGACACTGTGAAGACAAGGAGACAGTCCTGTACATTGGACATAGGGTCAATTAATTCTGGACTTTGCTGGTGAGAAGCGGGGGGAGGAGGGAGCCAATGGCTCTGCAGGGAAGAAAAAGGCAGAATAGCCTAAGTCAATGGATGATGTTTTGATGCTCGGTGGACCAGCTCGACCCTACCTCAAAGGCTATATAAACAGCTGTGAAATTCTTTTGGCCAGGTATGTATGCTATCATAAAAGTATTTTATTCAGGTTCTGAATAAGACAATCTGCTACTAACCCTTAAAGTACCACGTGTTAACATTGACTTTTCAATATACACACGTAACAGAGAGAAAAACAAAGAGACAACACGGCTATGATAATTTACGGCATTTTCTTTTTTTTTTTTTT